TATGTGTAACCCCTGACATAATGTTTCTGCAGGATTTACTGTGATCTCTTCCATCAAATAGTGTGCTTCTATTACAGTTACTTAATAATAAATAAGGTAAAGGTTCCCCTTGACATTTAGTCCAGTCGTGTCCAACTCTAGGGGGTGGTGCTCATCCCTGTTTCCAAGCCATAGAGCCAGCGTTTGTCCAAAGACAGTTTCCGTGGTCATGTGGCCAGCGCAACTAGACATGGAACACTGTTACCTTTCTACCATAGTGGAACCTATTTATCTACTCGCATTTACATGCTTTCGAACTACTAGGTTGGCAGGAGCTGGGACAAGCGACGGGAGCTCACCCCGTATGCGTGGATTCAATCTTACAACTGCTGATCTTCTAACCCTGCAGCACAGGCATCTGTGGTTTAGCCCGCAGCACCACCACTTTGGCTCTTACTTGTGCTTAAAAAGTGGCACCCCCTAAAACAGCGGTGGTGGACCTTTTTGGACTCGCGTGTACAAAATGGAGGGGGGGAACAGTGAGTGCATGTTGGGTGGATTCCATCTTACGACTGCTGGTCTTCCAACCTTGCAGCACAGAGGCTTCTGTGGTTTAACCCGCAGTGCCACCACGTTCCATTAATAATAAATACTACCACATATATACAAAAACAAAAAAGATTGAAGCCTCTGTTTATTATGTACTGTTGTTGTTGTTGTTGTTGTTGTTGTTGTTGTTGTTGTTGTTGTTGTTGTTGTTGTTGTTGTTGTTGTTGTTATGTGTTACCAAGTTGCCTCTGACTTATCATGGCCCTATGAATGAACAAAATGTCCTGTTCTCAATAGCCCTGCTAGCTTTTGTAAACTCAAGACTTTGGCTTCCTTTAGGGAGTCAATGCATTTTATATTTATTCTTCCTTTTTTTCCTGCAGCCTTCAATTATCCCCAGCATTATTGCCTTTTCCAGAGAATCTTTTCTTCACATGATGTACCCAGTATAACAGCCTCCAGAGGCCTCATTTTTGCCTCCAGAGATAATTTAGGCTACTTGCTTCAGACGCACTTATTTGTTTTTCTGGTCATCCAGACTATCCACAAAGCTCTTCTCCAGCACCATATTTCAAACAAACATTTTTCCCCAACAGCCTTCTTTGCTGTCCAGCTTTCACACCTGTAGACAGTGATCAGGGATACAAGAGTGTTGATGGATCATCCTTGGTCTCCAGTGGATAGCCTCAGTCTCCAGTGACACATCCTTACACCTGAGGATCTTTTCTAATTCTTTCATTGCTACCCTTCCAAGTCTCTGTGGTTTGAAATTGTTCTCTAGGTATTCCATCTACCCCTGGTGATTTATTTCTTCCTAGTGCTTTCATAACAGCTTTCACTTGACTTTCTATGTGGTCAAGTGGTGTTTTCTGTCACAATACAATCAGTCTAGTATTTGTTCTTTCTCTGCTATGTTTCTTGCCTTCCTTCCCTGTCCCCGTCCTCCTCAATTTCTCTCCTGAGTTGCTTTCTTTTATTTTAAATCTCCACTTTCTCCTTGTGGTACCCAATTAAGCAGCAGAAATGGCTTTCACCTGCAGAAAGGCCAGAGATTACATCAACAAAGGATATCTACCAGACAACCAACTGGCAGATATCCTTTGGTTTGTATTCCTGCATTGAGCAGGGGGTTGGACTCGATGACCTTATAGGTTCCTTCCAACTTCATTATTCTATGTTTCTATGCTCTACCTGAAGCGCTCCTCCCTCCCCAAATCTCAAGCTTTGTTTCAGAGGGTTGAAAAGGAAGGGATTTCCCAGAGCAAATTTCATGTGGAGTGATGCCGTGGTGAGGAATGGGTACCAAGTAATGTTGTGTTTGTATGACACTGGGTTATGCCCTCGAGCTGTCCCCAGATGACAATTCATCATCCCTCAGCAACTTTCTTCCTCTGGCACTTATCTCACATTCTGTGCTTCTCCCTGCATTTGTCCAGCATTTTCTGAGCTCCCATTACTGTAGTTGATATTGCATAAGACCTAAAGAAAAAGTTGAGGGAGTCAAGGTATACAACTGCAATCGAAAAGAGAAGGGAGCTCCTCCATCTGGCAAACAGCTTTGCCAGATGTGGTGGCCTCTGAGCAGCTGCATGTTGCAGCACACACAAATTAGTCTCTGCCTTCTCACCAGAAGAACTTGGTGAAATGCCGCCTAGAGTGGTCACAATGATCAGATAGGTGGGGTATAAATAGAATAAATAAATAAACAAATAAAAAATGGTTTCTCTTCACCACTGTTGTGACTTTTGTCCCCAGAAACACTGTCCTCCCAGATCTCTGAAGCTGAATGCCCACCTACTCTAGCTGTTCTTGTTCCTCCTGGAGGGCAGAAAGCACAACTCTCAAAATGCCCATCTGTACAGTAGCAGATCCTTGCGCAGAAGATTCTTGAAAAAGCCTTGGGGATCATTTAACATTCACAAGGGACAATGATTTCCTGAAAATCAGCAGACAAATCTATATAGATTATAGGCAATACTGTTATATAAAACACTCAACTAATGTTATTTTAAATAAATTCTCTAAGTGCTGTGTGCATGAATCCTTCTCATGCATTCAGCAGAGATGACTGCTTGGTACAGAGATGGTTGCTTTCTGGGTTTTAATGGCAGAGCTGAGACACAGAGAGAAAAATATTATTTATAACTTTCTCCTTTCCTTCCTTGGCACCTAATGCTTCTCTTCCGGGAGCTCAGTTTGCTGATATTGGAAGAAATATACAAGAAGTCATAAATCTTGCCTTAAGGAGTTTGTGGAGTCCTTAAGGCAAAATCAGGAGCAACTGAAAGCTACTAGCAGTTGCCACAGGCGTAAGAGAGTGAAGAGAGAGATAAATGTGATGGGGATACTTTGTGCAGCAGTCATGCCTGATGGATAGAGAAGCTAGTTAGAGTCAGGCACACAGTAAAATATTGCAAGATAGTAGCTTGGAAGAGGGGACAGCAGCTGCACAGAAATATAAAAATATGTTTTTTTTTTCAAATGAATAGTCATAATGTTAAAAAGCACAACAGAGTAAAACTGTTACATTAAAAAGTGGTGGATTTACATGAGTTTACGGGCTACTAGGATTTTAAGATTAAATAGCATGGTAGACAGAGGTGAAGAGACGGAGAGGTTACATGTACAAGACAGAGGGTAAAATGCAGACATATACACCCATCAGATATAATCGACTTTGCTATGCAACAACTTTGCAGGAAACCTGATTTTTTCCGTCTGCTCAGCTAAACAGAAACTGGATGTCCTACGTAAAAGTCTATTGATATAAATCCAAGTTTCAGACAGTTACTGGTGTTCCAACTCCAGAATTAAAAAGAGAATCTGGTTTGCAAAACAAAATTCACGTCTCTTCTCAAAAGTGGGAGGGAATTTACTGTACTCTCAAGATGTGACCCAAATCTTAGGCCAGAAGCGGCACATAGTGATTTTAATTAGTTCCTACTTCCTCCCAGGAAGCATGCCTTACTCAGGATGTGCATCCTTTCAAAACCTACTTGGGGGGGGGGCTGGGAAAACTTTCAGAGCAGTTTTGGGGGCTGCACCAAGGACTCTAGAACAAATGCCCATCCCAGAGGCATCCAGGAAGGCAGTTCCAAGCATAAAGAATTGCAAGAGGAAAAAGAAGGGAAGGAGGCTATGTTGACTCCATGGACTCTGCCCACACAAGGCAGCTCACCCCAGCTGAGAAGAAAGGTGGGGGAAAGGGGTTTTTACCTCCCTTCTGTCTCCCTAACCTCCATCCTTCTGTTTTCCCCTCATGTTGCAGCTGTCCTTTGCTGCTGTTGCTGCTGTCTCCTTACTTGTGAGTAATCAGGTAAATGTACTCATGAGTATACTGAGTAAAACTTGCTTTGAGATCATCCCCAGGCACAAAGCAAAAATCCAGTAATTTCACAGCTTAAATGAATGAGCTTCTGAATATTATTCTTTTTAAAATATCTTTTAAAATATGTTCATAGAAAGGAGTTAAATTTTTGGTCAGGAAGGAGTTAAATGTTTTATTTCACAGTCCTTGAATGGTGTTCTGAGTGGCAGGGTCAAAACTTCAGTCCATTTAGAATGCTGGCAATTTATAAAGCAGCTTACAAGCTTCCTTTTTTTTTTTGGTCACTTTAAAACCACTACTTTCAAAGTACTGTATGTATTACAGCCATGAATGGCTGAATTCCTTCCATATAAAAAGGGGGCTGGAACTAAACATTTTGTTTCAGTATATGCAAGTTTGGTCTTATAAATGTATTTTATCTGTTTTAAATTGGCTTTAGCTCAAGGTCGCTTGGTTCTGTATGGGGGTAAAACAATGTTACTTTTAAAAAATCATAACTTTAAAATCCTTTTTTCAAATGTCCCCAAAATCTGGCATAGAGCAAGAGTATACTTTCTGCTACATCTGTCCCAAATTTGGTGCTAATCCAAGGTCCAGTTTCATAGTTAGAATTTTTTTCTTTGAGGCACCCCTATTTCTTGAGTTGGCTTACAAAATGCTGAATACTGCTGTCAGTACAGTATATCAATGCCTTCCTGGGCACCAATAAAAAAGCCAGGACGGATGATGATTTTGTTGGTTTGTTCAGAAGATTATCAAGATTGCGCCATGGTGATAAATCATCCAAGCAACAAGATAAGAGATGAGGAGCAGATATGGGATTTGAAGCGGGGGGGAGGGGAGAGAAAGTCCTAAGGTAGAGATGTAAAGGTGAGCATTAGCTGTTTATAGGTGGCACTGGAAGTAACCATGTTTCCAAGCTGTGATAATGGGTGCCTTTTTGTGTACAAAACACAATTTACACTTCAGAATCAGATGTTAACACCAATCCTCTTTGCACCTTTAATGTAACACTGCATGACCCAAATCCTTTTAATGACAGAGCTTCTGAAACTGAAAATTGCTGTCAAGGTCAACAGTTTGGCTTTGATTTACTTGGATCCATTCACAGGAATCTCCTTTCTCTCCATCTCTTTTTAAAAAGCAACCACACAACATCCTGCAGAGGCGCCTGATGGAGACAAACATGTCAAAATTACGCCACAGTCGAGGACCGAGCTCTCAGAAGAATGACCTTTCGGTCCAGACCAATAAACTGAACCAAATGAAACTGGATGGTCCCACAAAAACAGAGCAAGAGGACCTTATCCTAATATGCTGTCAGGTATGCTTTTTTGGGGGGTGTTTATACTGATATGTTTGGCAACTTCATACTGAGCCAGAATGTTGCTAAGTTCTCACCTCACAAAATGGCAATTTTTCTAGTATTCTTCTGTGGAGGGGAAGATCATGGATGCTTTAAATGCTAACCATATAAGGATGTTACCCTACAAAAGAAATATTGATATATTAATCATGTGAATTAAGCTGCTGAATCAATTAATTATCCTGAAATGTCTATATCAATGAAACAATATTACTGTAAAGTGTACGCGTTCTTTAACAATATGCACCCATTTTGAAGCAAGCACTTTTTAGAAAAAGCCTTCCGTCAAGTACAAAAAAAGCAAGCCTTTTCTGAAAGAGTACCTGTGATCCAATTATTTTATTAGTTTTTAAAATAATAATTCTTTTCAAAATCTGTTGCCAGTTTTACTGAGGAGAAACTGTTTTGTCAGTCAAAAGATTTTAAACGGTCTAATGATGATTAAATATTTTGTCCCATAATAACTCAGTTCTTATGGCATGGTCTCTCTTGAGATGTATGGGTTGAATGTATGGGTGATGGATACACTCCAGGATTAGCTCACAGTTAAGCAGAATGCAGCCTATCCAGAACTTCAACGGTTTGATTTTGAGAAGTAACTTTTTGTATTATTTGCTGGCTGTTGTTTATTGTGGTATTTTTTACTGACATTTTATGTTTTGTTACATTAAGGTTTTTTTTAAGACTAAACTTAATACAAAAATGGCCAACAGCAACATTTTAGGAACAATATATAAAGGTTACTCATTACATTATAATAAGCAAATAATTACAATACCAGTTGTCATGCTGCTTTTAACATCCAATGGCATTGTCTTCAACCGAGTTATGCACTGGAGGTATCATTGTTGCAATGTATCATTCAAGCGCTGAGGCTACTAACTAAGTGCGGTAGCCACATTTAGAAGCTTGAGTTGCGCTTGGGTGTTTGTTTTTTTTAAACTTCTGCTGCATCTATAATATTGGAAGTGAGAGTTATCTAGCTTATGAAAAGTCACAATTCATGGCTGAGTGCTTGTATTTGGTTTATAGGTCATGCGTTGTATGGTCTACAAAAATTAGAACTGACAGATAAAACTGGGGCTTTTATTCAGGCAAAGCCAGGTATGAACCAGCCTTAAGTAACAAAGAACTCCCTGCCAAAGGAGGCCTGGCAGTCTCTTCCCCCTCCCACTTGTCCTTCTGCCAGTAGGCAAAAGCAGATATTCAACAACTGACTGGTGTCCAGAGAAAGGATTTTAATGGAAATACTGTATTTTATTTAAAATGTGTTTCTAATATTCTAAATATATTTTAAAATTTGTAATGACCTAAATCCTCTTGCCCAGTTATGTTGGCATAATGTGAACAATGTAATATTTTCAGGTATATTAACTTAAGAAATCCCTGTAGACATTATTTGTTGCATGCTATAGGGATTTCCTGGGGCAATTTTCCCAAAGTTGTGCCATTTACATAGCAGTACATGGCCTATATGTTTAACTGCTTTTGAAATATTGTAATATGTCCTACTTGAACTCTCTCTGCCTTTTTAAAATTCTGTAAGCCTTCTTGAATACCTTTGCTGGGACAAAAGATGGTGTAAAAATCTATTCATATTGTAAGAAGGAAGAGGGACAGCATTACAAAAAGCCCATCCTGGTTCATATTTGTTAAATATGCATGAACTTCCAAAACAGTACAATGAATGTTTCAGAAATCCATGGGTCCATTTTGAAATCTTCCCTCCACTGATGATAGAAAATGTCTAGCATTCTAGACAGGTTTTTGGAGGACACAGGAAGACAATGGTCTCTGTTTCCAGCATTCTACCCTACAGCAGAAATCAAAATGTCGAGCTCTTGCTTACTTTCAGCTGACTGTTTTAAATGCTTTGATTTGCCCAACAGTGTATGGGGAAGGAATTCCAAGCTGTGGTTGATACTGGATGTCAGCATAATATCATATCATTAACTTGTTTGGAGAGACTAGGGTAAGTAGCCATGCCTTTTCTATACTATTTTGCTACTGAAGTGGGTTTACAAACAAACAAACAAACAAAAACTGGAAAATCTTTGTCTACCTGTGTTGGATCTGATCATAGATGCTTCTTGTTTGTGGTAGTACTTAGGGATTGTCTGTGGGAACTGAGCAGCAACCTCAGCTTCTGAGCTCAGCTGAGCAAATAAAACTGCAAAATAAAATGTAATAATATTCATGCACTGTCATGGTTTTCTTCTAGGACCTCTTTGGGGCCATGTAGCCTGCCCGAGGCCTCAGAGCCTCGCACTTCCCTTGCAAGGCACGGCATGGAAGAGAACTCTCAATGCCTGTGCTTCACTCCAATCAGCTTACTGAAAAACAAAGGGGGGAAATAAGTGTCTAAACGGAACTTTTTAAAGCCACATAATTTCTTCCCTGGAAATCAGTGAAAGCCTTCCAAAGCATCTCTACTTCTGTGCCTCAGCTTCCCTTGAGAAGCTGTTTTTTTTGATGAGTGTCTCCTACCTGAAAACTGCCTCCTCTTGTTTACAAGCAGGATGCAAGAGCCACTTGCCCCATGCATTTTGGAGAACAGAAGTACAGGGCCCATGTTCCCTTAGCATACTGGCACACTGGCTGCGGCTGGTTGACTGATGAAATGGAAATGCAATACTCAACATACACTCAGCAAAAACTGAGGCAAAATTGTGCCCTGCGAGAAGAGTATAAAAATAAGGGGAAATGGGGTGGGCATGATAGGGACAGGAATGTCACTGTACTATCTGAGTCCTAGGCAACGTCATATGGATAGCAGGAAAAACACCCTATATCAAGAGAGTACAGAACTGGGTACATCCAGGGGAACAAATGATCCATCTAGATAGCTTCTAATAGCCATACAATAAAGAACAATTTATTCCCTCAGCAGTGTTCCACACTGTCTGCTGAGTAAATAATGCCAGCCGTCTGAGGTTGGTGATCATTATAATCTAATGACTTATTTGTACAGTGTTGTGGCTCTCAGTGGCTGGCTGAGGAGAGCTGTACCTGTTAATGAGCAGAGCACTGCTGAGCAATCTCCCTGCATGTTACACAAAGCCATCATTATATGTTTAGGGACTTTATACTGTAAAATACAGTAGTTCCCTCTAAAGCAGAGGTGCTGGAACTATTTTCCTTTACACCAACAGAAGCTGTAAGCATATTTCTGGGATCATATTGGCAGGCAGGCCTCTCTTCCATCAACTGCTTGGTAAAAGGCAGACATTTCACAGGTTTTTCTCGTTGCTGGGATCCTGTGTACTTGCTGAGCATCCGCCTTTTGTGTTGCTTTTTGAAGATAAAGGAGCACTGGCAGACAAAAGTTGACAGCTCTTTTCCAGAGTGAATTTTTTGTTGAGCAGAAGGGGATTTAGCCCTTGAGCGCCAAGAGATCAAAAGTCCATGGTATCTCCAGTTTGGGCTGGGAAAAATTCCTGTCTGAAAGTTTGAATACCTGCGTACCAAGGAGTAAGATGTAACAGCAATGCCCTCCCCTGCCTGCTTGGAAGGGGGAAAGATGCATTGGGATGTGCACGAGTGTGTGCATGCACACGCATGTGTGTGCATGCACACACAGGGTAAGAGGTGACATCAACTGTAGCCCTCAGAGCTGTGGAAGGACCCCTTCCATGCAGCTTGGAGGTTTGTGTCTCCCACTCTAGCACCCATGTCTCCCCAGGGGCATTATGTGCAATTTTAGAATAGGAGGTGGGTGAATACTTGGAGGTTATATTGAAGGTTCTGAAGGCATCACAAAGCCAACAGGGCACTCTGTGCTCATTCCCAGTCATCTGAATAGAACCAGTTGCTTCCTCAGTGCCTTGTTTTATGGGGGTTCCTGCTGCATGGTGGCACAAACCATCTTCCTGCCATGTACAGGGACAGGACAGGAGTAAGTGAATTTGCTTCTCTTGGTATTCTTTTGCCTGATGCAACTGCCTCACCCAGGCTTATGTTGGGGCAGCCCTGCCAAAACATCTCTGTATTTTGGTTGAATTGCTTTTTGGAGCTTGTTTCATAACTTGCCATTCTTTTTATGGGATATTGATCAGTCAAAGCAGGTAGACTTGTCAGCTTCTGAACTAGTCCCTATGTAGACATCCTTCAGTCTTGACTATGGTAACGTGCTCTGTATGGAGGACTTGGAACAGGGTCTAGTGTGGCTGAGAAGGCCAATTCGAGAGGGACAATCTCTTCCACATTGAGGACAAATACAATCTGTCCTCTGCCCAGCTCCCTGATTTTGCTGCTTTCAGGACTGCCTCTTCGCCTCAGCCTGCTGGACAAGTGTCTCTTCAAATTGGGAGAGGCCATGCTGCACCGCCTGCCTCCAGGCTGAACGGCTCAGATGTCAGGGTTTCCCATCTGTTGGGGTCCATGATCCTAAAGCCTTCAGATCCCGCTTGCAGATATCCTTGTATCGCAGCTGTGGTCTCCCTCTGGGGCAATTTCCCTGCACTAATTCTCCATACAGGAGATCTTTTGGAATCCGACCATCAGCCATTCTGACGACTGTGAGAGCTGTGCCTTTAACAACTGTTTGATAAGCAGCAAAGAGGCAAATAATAATGTATATTTAATTCCAGGCCATAAAAAATTTCAGCAACCAAACCCTGCAACTCAAGCAACTGTTAAATGACAGAATGTGTAACCAGGCCCAAGTGTTAGCTGGTTTTCTTGGGCAGTTAGACTGCCTCTCAGAAAAGCAGGGCCCTGATGGAAGAGAAAGGTGCCACTTTTGTAGGGTTGTGTGGTTTGTGGAGGCCTGGAAAACCCAACAAAATAAAGCTGTGTCACACTAATTTTTGTGTAGAACCAACCCCAACAAACTGAAAATCGAGAAAGAAACATACTTGGAGGTCAATTAATGGAGAACCTTTTTAAATAATTACTACCCAAACAACCTGTAGAGGTTAGAGAGGACGAGTTAAAGATATTTGCTGCTTGCTCCCTTCCTCCATCCTCACCAGGAAACTGGCAACCTCCTCAGATACATTGTTTGAAACAGCATCAGCTTAAAATGAGGTGTTTGTTTCCTGAAATTTATATTATTGACTGCAAAAGTGATGACAGACACCCTTGCTAATTATTTATAGTAGGTGAGATTGTATTTCACCTTTCCTTACCGTATGGTCTTTTCTCACTTTTCCTGGTTGTTGAAGCCTTTGCCTAAACAATAAACTGTTGGCTGGTTTTGATAAAATATTTAGTTTACTTTGTTATAGATCACCAGACTATACCATATAAGAGTGGGAACCCTCTACTGCATATGGAAAACTTGAAAGACTCTTCCTCCTCACTTGAAACAAAGTCCCTCCATTTTGTGAATGTCTGCCTTTGGAATAAAATGGGACAAAATAGTGGGTGGGTGTGGACTGCTCTTGCCTGGGCTTCCAGCCAGCCATGTCTTCCTCTGTCATATTCTAGTCTATTCCACCCCATTCTATGTTTTCCACATCAGGTACTCAGTGTTCCTTGGCCTGCTGTAATTTGGCTCACGAATCTTGCTCTAGATGGGAAGAGTTCTCATATTCAGAAGGTGTCACTTGAAGGCAGACAATTTTAAGCCCTCAAAGCCTCGGATTCAATAAATTAAACAAAAAACTTACGGGCGTGACCTGAACTTGTGCCAGAGAAATTAAAATCTGCATTTCTCAGAGAGGAGGGACAGAAAATTAGAGAACATTTTAGTCTAGTACTTGCCATATGGTGACCAATCCCTTGGCCATGTATCTCAGCCAGAATTACTGTCTACCCACCAGGGTAGCATGGAACAGCCTTCTGAGCCGGCACAACAAGAAATGTTTAAATTGTCCAGCTGGCTGCTTCATCATTTGGAGTGCTCACAGTTGGTTTTCTGTCTCTTTTTGTACTACAAAGCAGGCATGTACATGTTTGTATTGCGATTAGTGGTTAGTGCCGATGAGTTCAGAAGCAGTAATTTCGTCTGTCCATTTGTAGAATTAAATAAAAGATTAAAAATTAATTAAAAGTCTAAAATTTATCAAATGGATTAGGGCCCTTAGTAAAATGGGAGCTGTCAAAATGTGAAGTTTCATTGTAGTTCCTGCTTGTATCACTCTCTAATATAGGTACTTCTAAAGTAACTAACTTGTTGTTGGAATGATTCTGAAGCAGATTATAAAGCAGTCGTTCTGAAAGTACCTTGAAAACAGCACAGTAATAACTATAAGCCAATATGGATTTGTCAAGAACAAATTCTGCCACACTAATATTACCTCTTTTTTAAATTGGGTAGCCTTCCTGGTAGATGGTGGGAATGCTGTAGAGATAATCTTTCTTGATTTCAGCAAAGCCTTTGACAAAGTGCCCCATGATATTCTGATTAGCAAACTAACTGGCTGGATAGAGCAACTATCATGTGGGTACACAATTGTTTGCAGAATCCTACTCAGAGACTTCTTATTAATGGCTCTTTCTCAAACTGGGAGGAGGTTACAAGTGAGGTACCACAAGGCTCAGTCCAGGGATCAGAGCTCTTCAACATTTTTATTAATGACTTAAATGAGGGAATGCAGGGAATACTAATCAAATTTACAGATGATCAAAAATTGGGTGGAATAGCTAATACCTTTTAGAAGACAAAATTCAAAAAGATCTCGATAGGTGCAAGCATTGGTCTGAAAACAACAGAATGCAATTTAACAGGGATCAGTGCAAAGTCCTACAGCTAGAGAAAAAAACCACAAATGCCCAGTTACAAGATGGGGGATACTTGCAGTGCAAAGTCCTACAGCTAGAAAACAAACCACAAATGCCCAGTTACAAGATTGGCTCAGTAATACTACAAGCAAGAGGGATCTTGGAATTGTTGCAGATCACGGCTGAATATGGTTGTGGGGGCAGAAAAGGTCAATACTATTTTAGGCTGCATTAACAGAAAAGGAGCCAGTGGTTGTGGGGGCAGAAAAGGTCAATGCTATTTTAGGCTGCATTAACAGAAAAATAGTCTTGAAATTTCATGAGGTCTCCCTCTCTTCGGCACTGGTTAGGCTTTACCTTGAGTTTTGTGTCCAGTTACCTTGAGTTCTGTGTCCAGTTCTAGACACCAAACCTTAAGAAGGATTCAACAAACTGGATTCTTTATTCCCAATGTTATTCCTCTTTCCCATTTGTGTTTAGATCACTTGTGGTATGAACATGAGTGACTCATGGTGGTGTATGTGGAGTGCTTTACACATTGATGTTGCCTGGAAGGTTTCCTACTCTGACATTTCCCTCTGATATTTTCTGTCACCAGATCATAGGTGGTGATTCAGCTCTAGACTTTACCTTGAGTTCTGTGTCCAGTTACCTTGAGTTCTGTGTCCAGTTCTAGACACCAAACCTTAAGAAGGATTCAACAAACTGGATTCTTTATTCCCAATGTTATTCCTCTTTCCCATTTGTGTTTAGATCACTTGTGGTATGAACATGAGTGACTCATGGTGGTGTATGTGGAGTGCTTTACACATTGATGTTGCCTGGAAGGTTTCCTACTCTGACATTTCCCTCTGATATTTTCTGTCACCAGATCATAGGTGGTGATTCAGCTCTGGTTGCCCTTTGCCTCTTTTATTATTGTGATCAGTATGTTCCCTCATTATGCAATTCTTTAACTTTTCCTGAAGTGGGCATGTATGTAATTATTTCAATAGCATGAACCCAGAATACAGTGGAGACTCAACAGTCTCTTGTACAATATATCTTCTGTGTGGTGCTAGAAAGTACCTTCTGCGTGAAAACATCACTAAGCGGGGCAGAAAAAGCCATTGGAACGCATTAAACATCGTTTCATGCGTTCCAAACGGCTCCTTTACTCACCGTTCAGCGATGTTCCTGTATGGCCGGCAGCCATTTTCGCACCCTCCCCTCGTTTAAGGAAGGTGCGAAAATGCTGCGCGTGGCCATTTTGGGGCTTCCGGTGGCCATTTTGGACCCGCCGAACAGCTGATCGGCGGGTCGCAAAGCGAAGGTCAGTAAGCGAAGCGCTTACCGACCTCCGTAGAGCGATTTTCGCCCTATCTAGGCATCGGTATGTGATCGCATTTGCGATCGCAAAAACGGCCCCGTAGAGCGAATTCATCGCTCTACGGTGCACTCGTTGTGCGAGGCACCACTGTATCTTCTGTGTGGTGCTAGAAAGTACCTTCAAACAGAAATAAATAATTTTATTTCATATGGAAAATCAAACATGATCTTCAACAGAAGCATTTTTAAAATTTATTTCTTACATGTATACCCCATCTTTCCACCAATGTGCTTAAGACAGCATTGATGGCTCTGCTTTCCATATTAAACTCTGTGAAGCAGGTTAATCTGAAAGATGTGACTAGACCTTCACTCAGTGTCATCCTGTGAGCTTCATGTCCACGGGGTGGGGTGGGGAGTTGAGCCCACATAAGCCTTAGCCCAACACTGCAACCACCACACCATGCTTTCTTTCAGTGTGCTGAGATTTTGGTAATGATAAATGTCCTAGATTAAGGTGTACCATGTCAAGGTTCAACCCCTTAAAGATGCCATGAACGCATCTCCCCACTACACTTGTTTGTAATGGTTTACGATGCAATGGAGAAGGCAGAAGGAAGATCTAGATTTCCTGGCAAATCACTGGATGGTTTGTAGATGAGTGTGGGTTTCTGGTTCCCTATATGCTTCAACAAGAGCAACAACAAGAAGACACACATCTTTAAATTAAGGTATTGGAGTTTTTGATCTGCAGGATGTCAGACGCAGCACTGTACTAGTATATGCAGGTTGTCCCAGCATAAGGTACATAAGATGGGGTGGGGACCAATGACTAAGTTGCTCCTCTTTAACATGCTGCATCCGGCTGTGTTTGATGGATCTCCAGGTTCTGGTAAACAACAAAGCAGATTTTGCAGAACTGTACAGATTGAGTAAAATCATTTCTCTGGATGATTGCTGGCATAATAAATAAATGCAATTATGAGAAATTAAAGTTGTTAATCTGAATATTTGCAATGGACTGTGCTGAAAGGGGGTATAGAAACTACTCATATGTTAATCAGAACATTTAAAGGTTTAAACAATAACAGAAGGTTGGGAGTTTTAGATTTTGGAGTGGGAAACGATACACATAGGGTATTGTGTTTGTATTTGATCACTGAAAAAAAGCCAGAAAATAAAAGGAAGCCTGAACTGAGTATTATTGAAGAAAAATAGCTTTTCTAGTTTTCTTGTCTCAGCCATGTAACACCTTTAATAGAAAGGAAAACCTGTTCCAAGATGTGGCATCAAAGTGCATTTAGCACTGACACTTCTGTGCAGAGATCTTGAACCAGGTGCAGATGACTCAGCTTGTAAAGGAGAGCAGTAGGAACAGACATAAAGGAGGCGTGTAGATTCTCATGAAATTGAATTGTGGCTTGTTTGTCTTTTAAAAAAAAGTTAGGATTGTGCAGGAACAGTCAAGAAAGATCAAAGGAGGCGGAGGGGAGAACAGAAAACATCCGAGAATTGTGATTGCTTTCAGTAATGCTTTGTTGTGTTTGTTGGCTTGTCCAGTTTTTATGGAAAAGGGGTAGGCTCTGCAGAAAGAAAGAGGGAAAGAAAAATAAGGAGGGGTGTGTGGCTCCAAAAGATGTCTAAGAGTCCAGCCTACTTTATATTGTGACATCAGAAGTATTTTAAAACCACTTTTTTGACCAGTGCAACCAATATTTTCCAACCCAATTTAAGGTCTATTCCTACTGTATGTCCATTCCCACTTCTCTTTCCTCCCAGAGCCCAAGTGCAAAGGATTTGGGATGGGGGGGGGGAGGAACGTGTGGCCTTCCTGATTTTGTGGTGCTGTGATTCTGTCTCTTGTGGAAAACACAGCCAGTGGGGTGGAATGCTGAGAGTAGATCTCCAACAATGGCTGGAGGGCTATCGGTAACCCAGCCCTGTTTTAAGAACTGTATGCAGGCAAGTTGCAGCCCAGCAAATCCAAACGACACCAGACTGGGGAAGGCTACTGCAGATAATGAAAGTGAAGAGTTTAGGAAATAATGGTATCCATGGTTGTCACTTGACTGAGCAACAGAACATTGTGTATTTGGGGGAAAAAAGGCAAGGTTTGCCAGTTCTAAGTACAGTATCTTATTAGTTTGTTCCTATTTGCCATGAAGAAAAGCTAGCACAATCTGTCGCTGAGTAAAACTGTCTGTGACTTCCTTCTCTCAGCAAAAGTGGCTCAGTAGTCTTGGAATGAAATAAACACAAGAACCCAAACATACTTTCTTGGTTCATTACTCCAAATAAACTATATTTCGCCACTAGTCTCTGTGTTACAAATCACAGAGCAGGCTATATTGTCTGAAAACACAATCACATCCCAAGATCCTGATTGCTTTTTGAACACTCTTCTCCTCCTTAAAAGTCTGGCTTTTTCAGTATCAGAAGGAAATGAATGTTCAACCTCCCATGACCAAGTGTTGTATAAAATTATCCCTTTTTAATTTCTCTGGGTTTTTCTCATTTTCACAAGCATTAATTCGAAGCCATTATCTGCCTCTGTAACACTCTTGGGAAACCCAGTGGTCTGTGGCACAGAGAAAGGAGTACCTCATCTTCTTGACATGATTTAATAGTAAATAAACAGATAAAAAAACACTGAATGGGTGAACAGCATAAAGTGTACAAGGCTGGCTTGCATACTGAGCTCATTACTGCCTGCTCTGGCTGGTAATGGCTCTCCCAGGTGGAAATCTTTGCTGCCTTCGTCCGGAAATGGTGGCGGTTGAAGCCAGGCCTTTTGCATACAAAGCACATGTACAGAGTATCTGCCACTAAGCAGCTACTTCCTTCTTTAGGATATTTCGTAAGCTTTAAAGACCTATACATGAGAACATTCGGGGTTAAATCACAGAGAAGAATCAAGAGCGGAAGAGGGTTATTAATGACCCTTGGTTGTGACCACTTGCTTCATATTGCATAATAATGACAATACATTGTTGTTGTTTTAAATAGAGGGATATATGCCTTATTAGGGATTTCTCACACATAGCCAAAGCTGGGGAACTTGTGGCCATTCATTTATTTTTGGGCTCTAGTTCCCACCCATTCACGTCTGCCTATGTGAAGGATGATAGGGAAGGGATTATAGTTCAGCCATATTTGCACGATCACATGTTTTATTGTCACAGGTAGATCCAATTAACTGGGCATAATGAACCAATGGTCTGTAGAACTCCTGGGTTGGTTTTTAAATAATGGCTACTTTTGAGGAATAAGCACATGGCCCTTGCCCTCTCTGTAGCAGGCCTGTCTGAAGATTTTCAGGTGAAAGTTATTTTGCATATGCAGTTCCACCCTATCAAATGTTGCTTGATTATCAGCAAGGAATGATTCACCCACAGTTTCAAAGTACATGGTGGTACCTGTATTATTGCCATATTAAAAATTTAAAAACCCTAATGTAAACAGAGTGCCCGTTTTTCTATGTGCAGATTAAAGGAACATATGAGAACCTACAAGGCTGAAAGTGAGAAAATTTCACTGCCCTATAATATGAAAGTGATTGGTCACATGGAACACCTGCCCCTTACATTGGGGTCTCTCCCTGTGGACTGTTCTGCAATTGTGACGGGTAAGTGTTTATGCCAGCTGGATACGGTGGTGTCCTCTGGGCCAGATGCCCTCAAATGACCCTCTTGTAGAACTGACGTTACAGCACTCTCCCCAAGAGGAAAACAGTGACCAAGTGGGGCTTTGTCCCATGAAAGTGAGTATACAAATGCAATCTCAGAAATGGAGTAGGCAAAGTGTGGCTTCGAGTCCCCTGCTTTTCCCCAAATTATTATTTTTTCTTAAATAGCACACTTTTTTGTTCAAAAAGTAACTTTTTTGTTCAAAAAGTAACTTTGTGTCCTCTGGGAAGTGTGGGAGGCAGATTTTTTCCCATTTGGAGGGGTAGCGCCCTTGTTCCGTCACCCCTCATTTTTAAAAAAAACATTTTTAAATTGGCAGGTGTGGGGCACAAGGGGCCTTTTTCACACTGGGGGTGGGCAGAACGCAGGGAGGGATTGGGTCCTTGGAGTTCCAGGGCCAGGTGGGTGGGTGTGGTGCTCAGATTTCTGGAAGCTGCTTGCCCCTTCTCGAAAGAACAAGGCTGAAAGAAGAAGAGATACAGTATTTCTTCAGCTGCTTTGGATAGACGCGAGAGGCCCCCTCACCAGAGTTAATCTGTCTAAACATCTCTTTTATTTTCAACAAAAGATCACGAGAAAAACTTCTCCTTGGGACTACAGACACTGAAATCTTTGAAGGTAATCCTCAATTCTTCTTCTTCTTCCAACTTTCCACCTCCTCATTCATATGCTTTCCACTTCTTAAGGTGATCTTCATCTGTTCTCTGGTTTTGTGTGTGGGGGTTATTTGGTTACCTTCATATTGATTCCTTTTTAGTGTGTGATAAACCTGGAGAAACATCACTTGGTCCTTGGGAAGACAGTCAGGGAAGAAATTCCTTTCATCGGTAGCACTGCTGTGCATGAAGAGAAGTGAGTTTGCAATTCAATATCTGCATTGAGATTTATTAGGATGAATTAATGTGAGCAAATCATTGACATGGAGAAAATGTGGGACAAGTCAAACCTACTGTTTCTTGAGTTGGCATTGTTAGCAGATGGTGTGTGGAAGGGTGTCACATGATTATTTGTGATGAGTGCACCACTGACACATGACTCAAAGTCATGAATGAGCAAGAGCTGAATGTGTGGCAGAAGAGTCATGCAACTGGAATCATCCTTGGGTGCTAGCAAGTGGCATCACAGTGTTTTCTTTAAGCCTTCTAAATCTTAAGGGATTTACAGTATATCACACTATTCAATAGATACCCAGGTCTATGTATATAACTACAGTGGTGCCTCACTAGACGATGATAATCCGTTCCAGTGAAATCGCTGTTTAGCGAAATCATCATCTAGCGAAAAGCATTTCCCTATTGGAATGCATTGAAACCTGTTTAATGCGTTCACTTAAGCCTTTTAAATCTTAAGGGATTTATATCACACTATTCAATAGGTACCCGGGTCTATGTATATAACTACTCAGAGAAAATCTGTCACTTCAGCACATAATTATGCATTCTGGATTTATACATAATATTTGAAGCTGGGCCCTACGACAGCATCCTGAATCCCATCCTAATTTTGCTCTTTGACTAAGATACGCAACATATCATTTTGGTTGTTTAAATTGACCTTTAATGTATTTCGTCCAGAGCCTTGGATATAAACCTAGCGAATACAACAATCAGATTAAATACATTTCAAAATATTGGCCCACCATACAGTTAAAGGATATATTTTTATAGGTCTCAGGGTAGGCCATCTGCATGGCACATTTTTCCAATAGGCAGGAAAAAATGAGACCACAGTAGAACATTCACCACAGTTACTGTTGATGTGGGGGAGAGGGAGGTAGATAACCCATTGGCCTCTTGACTCCCAGTATATGATGTTTTATCACTGAGGAGGCCAGGTCAGAAGACAGCTGACTGAGTCTGTCAGGAAAGGATGAAGAGAAAAGCTGTCACTTCAGCACATAATTATTCATTCTTGATTTGTACAGAATATTTGAAGCTGGGCCCTATGACAGCATCCTGAATCCCATCCTAATTTTGCTCTTTGACTAAGATAACATATCATTTTAGTTGTTTAAATTGACCTTTAATGTATTTTGGCCAGAGCCTTGGATATAAACCTAGCGAATACAACAATCAGATTAAATACATTTCAAAATATATGTCCACCATGCAGCTAAAGGGTATATTTTTCTAGGTCTCAGGGTAGGCTATCTGCATGGCACATTTTTCCAATAGGCAGGAAAAAAATGATACCACAATAGAACATTCACCACAGTTACTGTTGATGTGGGGAAGAGGGAGGTAGAGAACCCATTGGCCTCTTGACTCCCAGTATATGATGTTTTATCACTGAGGAGGCCAGGTCAGAAGACAGCTGACTCAGTCTGTCAGGAAAGGGTGAAAAATTGCTAGTTATTTAATTCATAATGATTCTGTTTTTCCTTTTACTGCTAGGGGCTGGGCACAAGTGATGCTTGTGGGAATTTCTTCTTTAGCTGACAAGATAATGTGCTCATGCAAAGTAATCTGACCAGCCCTTGGGCATTCCCCCTGGTTTTGAGAATGGGGCTGTGGACATTATGAATCAGGCAGTAAAATGATTTGGGTCAGCCAATGGGTCAGCCAATGAAAAATAACACAGAGAGATTAAACTGTGACAATGGCAGCAAGAAAAGCCATGATGGGTGACTGTTCTGTTTATCCTATTTCAGCACTTCTGAGGCATGAAGAGGAGGTGCCACTGGTTTAAAAGGAAAACCATGATGGGGTTGAAAGAGGAGACAGTTAATACTCCATTCCGCTAGACTGTGGCTAGATTTGTAGAGAATTGAAAGAGCAGGCCTTTGCCAGGAGCTGAGGACAGCTTCAGATCTTCACCTGTTACAAAGAGAGTCTGGTGGTGGACTTGTATGCACACGCCCAAGTCTGCTCTTCAAAATGGTGTCACCTTTGTGGCCACAGAAGTATGAAAATGTTTATTTTCTAGACTCTACTGAAATAATTTCTGTAGCCCTTGGGCCCCTGGTTTTGAGAATGGGGCTGTGGACATTATGAATCAGGCGGTAAAATGATTTGGGCCAGCCATATCATGAAGTTAGAGGGCCAATGAAAAATAACACAGAGAGATTAAACTGTGACAATGGCAGCAAGAAAAGCCATGATGGGTGACTGTTCTGTTTATCCTATTTCAGCACTTCTGAGGCATGAAGAGGAGGTGCCACTGGTTTCAAAGGAAAACCATGATGGGGTTGAAAGAGGAGACAGTTAATACTCCATTCCGCTAGACTGTGGCTAGATTTGTAGAGAATTGAAAGAGCAGGCCTTTGCCAGGAGCTGAGGACAGCTTCAGATCTTCACCTGTTACAAAGAGAGTCTGGTGGTGGACTTGTATGCACACGCCCAAGTCTGCTCTTCAAAATGGTGTCACCTTTGTGGCCACAGAAGTATGAAAATGTTTATTTTCTAGACTCTACTGAAATAATTTCTGTGGTTTCAGAATCGTTTCTTAAGAAATGGGAGCAGAGGGGACAATTTTGTAATCCTTTTTGGAGCCAATTATCTTTCCCTTCAGTGGGAGACTCTGGAGTTCAGATTTTTAGAATGTATTTTTCTCTGGGTGGCAACAAATAATTTTACATTACCTACTCACAAACAAGATCCTTATGTGTATTGAAATGAATGCATCCAAAAATGTACTGGGAGAAAAGGCAGTGTTGTTGTTTTTCCTTCCACAGAGCTGGAGGTAGTGTGATTCCACCTTTGTTGTTTATAGTATTTTAGCTTTCATCTGATTTCCCTCTGAGTGGAAGTCCATTAACAGGATCCTCCATCTAGAAGACAGTAATTTTCATTATTTTTTCCCCCTGCCCCTCTTGAAAAGCTGTTCCAAATCATTGTGGAAGTGGCAATGCTGTTGAAAAATGCAAAGTCTCTTCTCTATCTTGGTTGTCCAGCAGGAACTTAAGCCAAGTATTAGTCCCTTTTATGAATGGAATTAGCTCTTCTAATCACAAAAGGAATGTTCTGGACTTAACCCAGCTTTTGTTCAGCTCTTTCTTCATCATTGTAAAATATTGAAATTAATAGCTGCTTATAATTGCAGAGTTAATTGAATTATCCGATTTTTAGAAAACATACTTATTGTCTAAAACCACAATACAGCATACACGAGCATTTATTCCTCAGTTAAAATATTTTCAAATCTACAAACTATCTTCTACTATCTGCAATTTTTGATGTATCACCATATGGAATAAAATTTGGGAAACGCAAATCTCCCTTTTTCTTCTTTATTGAAATAATTATTTAAACAGTACCTGTCCTTTTTCTTAATGCATAAGAAGCCATTTATATATTTTTGCTCGGAGTACAATTTGACTCCATTAATAAGTAAAGGTAAATTTCTAAATATAGGAAAACATTCTGGCAAAATCATTTATTGCTACTTAATTATTTGTATTGTTATGTAAGCTGGCTGCTTATTAGATAAATGTAACCCCTGCCCACAAATTCCTATTTAAATACAGATCTATCATGTCAGTAACAGATACCTGATCTCTTTGTATAAGCTGATAATTTGTATTTTTGCATGAATATTCATAAATTAAATCTAAAATTAGAGGTATGTTTATATTTACTTTGAGCAGAAAGCTCACCAAAGAGTCAGAAAATATAGACGTATAGAATTGATTCTTTTGTATGGGTACAGCAGTGTGATACCAAACCTGTTGGAATACAGATGTTAATGAAAAAAAATTACAGTATATAGTAATAGCCACCAATGGGAAACAATGTTCTTCTAATGCTACCTTCACTTCCCTTTTTAAAAACAACACTGTAATCATACTTCCTTTGAAATTAATTTTTACTAACCACATACTTTCAAAGAAGAATTATTGCATATTTTTAATCACAGATTACCTCACTGTTCCCCTTAAAGACCGAAAATTCGCCAATGGAGTGTTGTTATATTTAACAATTATTTCAGGGAGGATCTTTCCAGAAGAGCATAGGATGCTGAGCTACGTACACAGCAGGGGCCCATTTGCTCAGTGTTGCTGATTTGATGCTCTTGGCCAACTGGAGAACCTTGTTAGTTACAGGTGAATGCTGTAATATGCGACCATTGCATTCTGTACTTTGTCTCTTTCCTCTCTAGGCCAATAACCCTGGATTATTTCCCTGCCCTGTAACTCTTCGTGGGAAGTGTCTTTCTTTTTAAAATAACTTTCTTTAGGTTTTTTGGCTACCAAAATTAGGTAGCGTTTTGGGTAGAGTTTCTGGAGCACTTATTTAGCTATGAGGTAGCTCCAGAATAACCATGTGATGATCATGCTGTGGATTCACATAATGTCTAGCACTTCATTGTCAGACTGCCTCAGTGTACCCCCCAACTTGCCATTTGACTCCCATGAATTGCTCTGATACAAGGGAAGGGAGCTGCAAGTCAGAATATGTTGAAGCAACTGTAAATCTGCAAGCAGGTGTGCTCCTATCTGCAAACATGCTGCTCAATGTGTCTTCATAAGATGCCAATATAGCTATGTAACCTTGCCTTTGCTTGTACACCCATCCAGCAAGCATACAGCGGCAGCAGACACAATTTATTGGATAGCTATATGAGACACATAAGAACTCTCTTTCTTTCTGGCAACACAAAGAACTATTTTGTACACGTCCCATCTTTGCATTCAAAAGATGCTCCCTAGGCTTGTGTTCCTGTAGCACGAACCAAGGCATTCTACCAGGCTCCTATAGCTATGCTAACTTTGAATTCTGTAGCTATACACTTAGCATAACAGTTGTACTTCTAGTTACGATTTTTTATTAAGTGTTTTGCTGAAGAGGAGCTTTAGTAGATTTGGATGTGTACGCATGCGTGTATTGTGTATCAAACCAACAGAATGCAGTAGACGTAATGCATCCCATATACACATTTGTGGCAGATCCTATAATTTGTTCTTAATATGAACTTAGACCTTGAAGACCTATCATGAAAGCCAGTGGGAGGAAGTACCGGCACTGATTTCAAAGATATGTAGGACCAGTGCATTTGGAATGGCATCAGTTCCTGTAAGTTGATCTGGTCGGTTTCTTTCTGACAATGACCCTAATGAACTCTCAATGGTTATAACCCATGTAGTACGCTCAGACTGTGATACCTGTATTTTCATACTATACAGCTTGGCTTTTTGCAATAGCTATTTATTGATCACAAATCCCAAGTAAAAATATTTGGAAATGTCTTCTCTTCTTGTCTGTTGCAACCTTCCTTACTATTTACAGTATTTATGGAGCTATATTTTTAAAAAATGCAAAGCAAAACCTTTGTGTTTGCCAGATTAACTGCACTGTGTGTATGCCAAGATGTAGTAAAAATATGAAATATATTTGTCCAAGTAAATATGCCACTGATGTGGTCTTTGGCTAATTTATCACTTAAGTGACTGTTTATTACTGTGATGACTATGAAAATAAAGTATTTTAAACTTGTATTAAAGCATATTAATGGGCTTCATGTTGTTCTTTGATGGACATTTTCTAGTGCTTATATCCTAAACACAATTATCCTGATACAGAAGAACACCAACAAAATGTACAATGATTGCAAATATAAGAACGGCTCTCTTACTGCAGAAACAAAATCCTGCCTATGGAGGTGCTTCCTATCTATGATAATCTCTTGTATGGCTATACAAAAAAGGGCTCATGCTTGGCAAGGAAGGAAAGGGAAAAGGAGAAATTGTTAGGGCCAGAATAATCTTTGGGCATATTGGTTCCTAGAAACCCTGCTCACCATGACCAAAGAATTATGGAAACTGTCCTCCCAAACATTAAAAAGGTCATACGGTATGTTTATCACCTGTGTTTTGGAAGGTGACTGAAAAAATACAGGTGGACAAATGTTATCCATTTTTGTTATTGGAGAGATTGTCTTGAGCAGGAATTCCCAACCTGGAATTGAATAATGTCAGAGAAAAGGCACATATGTCAACAGTGTAAGACAAGATACAAGTCAAAAGTTCTTTAATTAGTTGAATGTTATGATGAGTGGCAGAGTGGGTTTCTTTGCTATTTAACATCAAGAAAAGCCTTGTTCCCTCACTTTGTTATTTTGGGGTGAGGTGGGAAATCCCTTTGTAAACAATGTATTGTGAACACCACTACAACATGCAAGCTTGGCAGTGTGTCGCTCACAGGCTCAACTTTCACTCTCCTCCACTTCACAAACATTCCACTGCTGGTGTGCCAGAACCAGTGTATATATTCTCATAAGTGGGCACCTCAGTCAGTCCTGTGAGGAGGATTCAATGAGTGAACTCTTCCAGGTCTTCTCTATGCTAGGGCACGGTTTACGGAAATAGGCTGCCAAGGGGTACGCATGTGAAAGAAGATTAGGAACCACTGGTCTGGAGGGCTGCTTTCTATGTGAATCTTGGGAAAAGTGATGAGCCTTTCCTGGATTTTTCTGCTTGACTAACTTTGCATTTTTAATGAAAGGAGACACAGGTCATGCATTTTGCGTCTAGAATCTTTCCATGGAAATAGAGTTTTTTCTTCTTATAGCATGGGGGACCAATCCACTTTACTTAAAAATAAAATTTATCATATTTATTATATCTGTTATTGTTAGCCACCCAGAGTAGACTTCAGTCTAGATGGATGGGGTATAAATTTAATAAATAAAATAAAATAAACGCTTTGTTTACAATATTTAGAACAGAGATAGGGCATGTTTGGGCCTCCAGATGTTGTTAGACTGCAATTCTCATTAGACCTGAACACAATCACCATTGGCATTGTGTTGCTGTCTAACATCTGGAAGGTCTTAAATTCCACACCCCATCTTAAAGCACATCTGCATACAGACTTAAAATTAGTCCCTTTCATTGAAACCCCAGGAACAATAACAATGTGAGGGGAAAGCAGGAATTTCTAGGAAAACCAGAGCCAAGATTGAGGAATTCTGGCTTTCAGGTGCAATTGGGTTACAGATATCTT